ATCTCTTTCTCAGGAAGATTAGTGGCTGTCCCTTTGGAGTAGGCCTGTGGACGGGGAGGGAGCTGCGAGAGGCGGGGGTCTATTTTTCTCTGGGACATTTTTCTCTGCCAGGGGGGGCCGTGACCCGCTCCAGAGCACCCTCCAGAGAAAGGCCCCGTGGTCAGTGCCGAGACCCCAGTGGAGACCCTTCAGACTCTAGCTCCATCTGAGACTTACCTATGATGGCCATGATTAACACACACGTTCTTATCACAAAGTCACGCTCTACTCCCTGCAAGACTAATTATACCAGACTTCTCCTCTTCATCCATCTACGCTACAGTGACCACTCTGAGTCAGACTTGCAGCTGATCCATTTTCACGGGGAAAAACTGGAGGTCGGGTGATTTAATGCTGCATTCTTGTTTGAGTAGAAATGAGACGGCAAGTGTTGACAAAGGTGAGGACATTTTTTTGTGGCGCCTCTCATTGGCTTCCTCCTCAGATATATCAAAGCTGTGAATAATTATCTGTGGACAATGTGTTTTTTATGCTGAAGAACATCAATCTCTGTCCTTAGTTCGCAAGCTACGGCCAAACTCTAAGAAAGATGAATATAACACACTGGTTAGGCAGAAATAATCAGAGTGTTACCGAGCTTGTCTGCTCCACTGGCCTCGTACAGTCAACACCAAAGTGAGGGATGATGGAAAAATTCTCTTTGGCAAACTTTCTCAGAATATAATAAGGGCCGTAAAACAACAAGTTGGCAGATTTGTGTTTGAAACGTCGCTCTTCCTCAGTCGAGGCCAGTGGAAGGCAGCAGAATACAGCACATCTGAGCGTCTGTACGCTACTTTTGGTGTGAAGTAGGGACAGGGGGTACATCAATCACAGGTATTCCTTTGAAACCGTGAGATGTTTTACAATCCTGGTAGCGGGCACCTAATCTGAACACATGTTACTCTGACATGGTAAAGCACAAGCCGACACAGACTCGTAAATCCCGGGGGCCTGGGAGTCAGGTTGCAAGGGCCGAGCCTGTGGAAGCACGCCCTTTAGCTGTGAGACAGATGCAGGCTGTCACACAAAATGTGGGTGCCCATTTAAAACCATTAACGAGGTCCTGAGAAAGAAGCCGGATTCCTATCATATGGACTGGACCTAACGGTGCACTTTTTTCTTCATCAACACACTTTGCATTAGTGGCCAGACACACTTCCATTATGTCTTTGCACTCAGAGACACAGACAGGTTCAACAGGGCAAGGCATGTCTCCATGAAACACAAGCAAAGTGAGCTCTCATGAAACAAGTTATGAGATTCGTGGCCAGCTGACACAAAGGATTAGGGTGAACATGATGTTCTCAGGATGTTTCTGCTTAAGTTACACTATTATGTTGTGCGGTTTCATTTTCAAGCTTAAAAGCTATAATGCACTCTGCATGGTTCGGAGTGCTTTGCAATTCTGTTTCAAAATTAAATAAAAGAGGACCTTTAAGTAAGCAAGTTTGTGACATCTTACGAAGATTGTTTGCAAGCTACTTGATTTATTCACATTTGCCCCATATTTTTGTTTCCACATGCATATTAATTTGAGAACCGGTTCAAATAAAAAGAAGTAGTAATCAAATTGAAAACAAAAGCAGAATTAAAACTAATGGCACACTAACGTCCTACTTTTACTGTTCCCATGTGACAAAGTGAGCTTTGTGATGGCAGGCCACCAGGCCCTTCATTAAACTGTAAAGCAACTTGAATGATAGGTTCCTGCGGTGGCCCCTCGCATGATGCCAGTGTGTCTTCCTGAGGGGTTTCAGTGTCCACCAGCCGGCTCTTACCAGCAGGCGTTAGTAATTTATAACTCTGGATACCTCAGAGGCCCGAACAAGGTCCTCAAACCTCGTTATGAGGAGTTTTCATCACACATTCACTAATGAAAACATGAGTTCTCATCTTTAAATTATGACCCCTTTATAGCGGGATCTTGCAGACCCTGCACCCTATGTTTTACCTCACAAGCACAAATAACCCCTGATGGGTGCAGACTACTTTTTTTTCAGTGGTGCAAGGTTATGGAAATTCAACCCCCACAGCCTACATGACACACAATGGTCATAACTGTGTAAATGACTGAATAATTTATGCCATGGCAAGCGCAATATTTTCTTCTTTGCTGGTTTGAAAAACTTGCGGCCTCTTTGTGGAGGTGCCAGGGAGGCGCACTGAAACGTCCTAGTTTCTCACCCCGCATCCCTAAACAATTAATGCTCATGGCTCATCTTGTGGCAGGCCACCAAGCCCATCATTAAGCAGAAATACCGCTAACGCCACAATGTCATACGACATCTTCTTAGCATTTCAAAGGTGCTACCCTCCTCCCAGCCTTTATCCAAGGCCTCTGATACACCATGTTGTCCACTGCTATGCCAGCCTCTTTTAGTAATTCATGAAATTTACACTCGGGAGGTGAGAACAAGGTCTTTCGACCTCATTATAACATTTTTTCATTACCCATTCTCTGACATCTCTGAAACATGCAGCCCCCATCTCTTGGTCTAACTCTTTTCATGTGCCACCCAGCTACTTATGTGAGTAGCCATAATGTTTCAGTTCACTGCTCTGCAGAGTACATGATCCTACAGAAAAACAAAAGTAGTTCATACAAGAGTGCTATATTCTACTAGCATAGAAAATGAACAGAGCTGCCAGTTTCTCACCAAATTACAAAATAACCTTACTAAGTATTTTTCTGCAGCTACTGTGTATGTCCACCCTATGCCAAATATCTAGTATAAAGGGTTCATGAGAAACTGGAAAATAGCCGTACCTCTGGTCAGAGTGGTGGGCGAGGGCTTCTTTGGGATTTCTGAGAAGCTGCTTCCATCCAGACCTGAACCCTTACACTCCTTCTTCTCAGTGGCTGTTGGAGCTGAAGTCTCCATGATGCACTTCAATTTCTGTCAAAACCTGGAGAGGCGAGAGACGCTAACGTTAGGTAAAATATTTGAAACATACAAAAAAGAAAAACAGTGACTTATTTGAATAAGAGTGAGACATTTAGTAGCAGTGATCGCCAACATGGCTGAACAAGGAGCAACACCTGGTTCTGTTCCAAAGTGGCTTTGTTCCAAAATGCAACCTTTACTCTAGCTAGCCAAACATGGCTGCAATAACAGCAAGGCAAAATGGCCAAACAGCGCAGACAGCAGGAGAAATTACATTAGCGTTGGTGAATATTATGGATATGGAATAAACCTTATTTATTAGATTTTTTAGCCACAAAAATACTCCAGACAGGTAACTACAATCTTTTGTTTTGTTTATTTTGGCCAATTTCTGTAATTTTTTTCACATTTCAGTAATCGCCGGTTGTTTTGTTTGTTTTGAACATCGCCCAACTCAATTTCTCATTCTTCATTTAAGCTACAGATTGTACATAACACAAGCGTGAAGTGTATTACAATGTTCACACTGTGATTTCCCCATAGGTGTGTATGTATTTATTCTGTCAGTGTAACTAATGTCAGGTCAGGCCCTAAACATACACGCAGGTTTCTCAGTTTGATGTAAAGAGCTCACAGTGCTCTTCTGTCCCAATTGTAAATGCGAGTGGCCCTTAGCGCTGAGGTTTTAGCCGCACACACTGTGTCAATACCTCCTCACGTCTGTGAATGGCTCAATGACTTGGCAACGTGCCACTTGTTTGACTTGGTGGGACCTACAAGATCATCCTCTGTCGAGAACAAACAGGACATGGGTGTGAGAGGTCATTCCACACTCTCCGGCAAGCTTGTGGTCATCGCTTTTCCACCTGCTTTCAGACACTGACGAGAAAATGTCTGTGTGCTTTGACAGAATGCTGAGATGTCATTACGGCAAGACCGAGCAACTGGATGTAATCAGAGGGGGCGACTTTATGTTTCACAGGTGTGGGGAGAAGGACATCTTTCCATGTTTGGAAAACTGAAAAACACAACATTTAGTGTGCATCTGAATGCTCTGGGGCATCCAAATGCAGCACTTCACTTTGTCCCTCACACCTGTTGGCAGCTACGGGAAGTCAGTTGATTAAAACTTTACACGAACATACCAAAGAAATCATTTTGCAGTCTTATAAAACAACAGTGTTTATGAGTTGACTTGTGCCCAAAGGACACAAACAACATCCTGAAACAGCAATCCGGAAATTAATTCTCACTCAAGTCAGGGAAACAAATGTGATTTTTGGCTGTAATAAGGACCACAAAAAATTCTAAAGGATGAAAGGAACAGATTAAAAACACACTCGTTGTAATACTACAGGGTATGAGAACATGCAAATACATAATTACGAGTGCTGAGAATTATACTGTCATTGAAAGGAATAAGTAATTGTTCAGAGATCTGGTTACTGCTAGCCGAATGTGTGAAGTGCTGTTTTTGGTTTCATGTGGATATCCAACATGTCATCCTTTATTGTGAGGTGTGTGTATTAGCAGCCGAGTGTGTGACCCTTCGGAGGTGCCAGTCGCCTGTCACCGAGCCAATGTAAGCCGATTAGAGGTGGGTGACTAACAGGTTTAGGCTGCATCTGTTTCTTTTTTTTTCTGGTGCCAAAACGTCCTCGAGTCTTGTCTCGGAGAACTCCGTCACTCTGACATCACCTTTGTGATAGAATTTAATGTGCTCTTTCATGGGCTTTTATCTTATTCAGAGTTGGCCAGAAAGCAGGCCTCTTTTTGGTAGTGAACCCCTCTTGGCCCAGATAAGATGTGCCCATGAACACACCAGTGCTCACAGAAACATACTATGCCTTCCAAGCAGCCTGCCCCTTAAAAATAACTGAGTATCCTCCCCTTAACATCACCGTCTGATGAACATCTGGCACCACATTAATAGCTGTTTCCATGCTTTTACAGCATGCCAACTATTTGCTTTCCAATTGCCTCTGAACCTCGTGCCAATGTTTTGAGGAAGGGAGGTTTGGGGTACAAGCACCTGTAAAGGTCATTTACCAAAAAATAAAAAAATATATCAGCAGGTGCAGTTTAGGGGACCATTGGACCAAAAACTGTCCAAGAAAAACTGCTAGCTTTGAGTCCATTTCTCAGAAAGTGGCCCCAACTTCACCCTGATCCCCCCCACCCACCACTTTCCCTAATTCTGTGGAGCTGTTACATTACCACTCCTACCCCGTGTCTCCCTACAGGCTAGACCCGTGTTGCCCCTGATGACAGGGAAGCCCAGCTCTGACAGGCTGGTACAGGTGTCAGGAACCAAGTGGACAGATGGCAGGGGCCAAAGGCGAACAAACAACAAGGGTGCACTTCTTTTCTCATCTTCTGGTTGGCTGGGCAGCCCGTTGCGGCACGAACAGGATAAGCCCCCCCACCCTCCCCTCTCCTTACCCCACCCTCTTGCGCCATGTGACCACAGGCTGGGGACTTCAGCAGGGCAGGATTACCCCCAACACACGCAGTCGCCACACTCCCAAGAAATCATATGATCCTTTCTCAAAGGTTGCACATATCACCTCTTTAAGTTCTAGCTACATCATGAAAACCTTTACATCTGGTGTCTTGGAGAAACAGGAAGTGTTGGTGAACAGACCTCAAAACCTACAAGTTTTAAAATCGAGGAAAAAGACGCCCCAGGATCAGTTTCACGGTTTGCTTACCAAATGGTTTCTGGGAAGTGGAGAGCATAAACACCTTCACAATGTCTAACAGCAAAATCTCAAAAACAAGAGTCTTACAGATTACTGCTTTAAGTGATTTATTTAGTTCATTCCAATGGGAATCTGCTTTTTCTCGCGGGTAAGGCTAGACTAACCATATCCGAAAGCAGTTTTACAGTGAGGCTGCTTTGTTCTTGTTCCTTCCTGCCACACAGCCACAAAACTGGATGTTTTTTCCATTGACAAATGTCTTTGCCTTTAGTGAAATATCTTACAAACATTTAAAATGAGGTCTGGGAAGGAATCTCTGTCTGTGCATTTTTTTTTCCAAGTGCATGACTTCTGGTTTGAATCTTGTTGAAGTGAACACAGATGCCAAGAAGCGTGTCTTGTATTTAATAAATTAAATATAAATTCTTTGTTGCTGTTTTCAAACTCCAAGCTGGGAAGGCTGTGTATGTGTTGGCTGAATGTAAAAATTATTATATTTAGTGATTCGTAGTTAAAATAGATGACAGAAAAGTCCGTTTTTTCAGCTGGGTTTGTGCACAGGTTGGCAAATATTAAGAGAGAAGAGTACAGTGGAGATTGTACATCTTGATTTTGCTCCACCAGCCCTCGCTCTGATGGACCATCCAGACATGCCACTTAACCACACAAGGAACAGGAAAAAGACTGAGGTAATGGGGAAAGTCACTGTTATGTTTTCTTCTACCAAGGTCAGCCTTAAAATCATAAGGAGTTCATATAATTCCACTTGTTTTCAGTGCAGAATCACTGTGTGGAGTTTCTTCTGAGAAAATAAAGATTGAGAAAACGCTGATTTTCTCAGATTTAAATCTTGTCTTCTGTCCCCTCTGAACTCCTCTTCCTCTCTCTGTTAATTTACCTCCAGCCCCCCCTACGTCCAAGACTTTTGTTATGAGACCTGGTGTGTGTTTTTCTTAGCGCCTCGATCAGTTTCAAGTGTTCCTCTCCACCACTACCGTTCAACAGCTCCCCTTTCACCAACACTGAAAGGAATGCAAACACACATCAAACGGGGCCCTCTCATTTTGAAGATTTCCAGGCTTTGCTCTTCTTACTTTCTTCCTTCCTATCTTTCAGTCAATGTGATCCGCATGCTGGTAGGCTCGCTTTCCTGGCAGCTCAAACACACGCGCACACACACACACACACACACAACGACAGGCGCACCAACTGCTGTCCCACACTCTGCTCACTTGGCAAACGCAGGAGAGAGAGATAGGTGAGGTCTCCTGCCCCTATGCCTCCTGCAGACCTCTCTACTCAGGTTTCTGATGCTGACACTCATGCAGGTCAACATAACAACCATCAAAAGCCAAAATATGGTTTGTTTTTCATACTTTTGCGTCTTAATCACAGACGAGATGTTGACATGTTGTTTTCTTGAGGACTGGTTGAGATTTGTCTATTGTGCTACTCCTATGTGGTTCTCAACCAGTGTGCTTCAGGGCGACTGGACATTATTTGGCTTTGTTGTGAAAAAATAACTTTGCAGATTACAATTTTCACTTCCTAATTCATGGATTGTTATAGATATAAACAAACAGTATACACTCAAAAAAACGACTACTAGGGTTAAAAGGTTATTATTTAAATTAACTTAATTAAATCATGGAGATATACCATGTGATTAACTGGCTTTCTTTTAGGATTAAGTAATTCTGTTGGGCCAACTTAATTTACTTGGGTTGGATCATTCACTAGCTGTAAAATGAGTTGGACCGACCCTTTTGATTTAAAGTCAGACCCAAACGTGGTAAGTAAGTTGACTCAACCTTAATAAATTAATTGAAGTAAATTAAGTTCAACCAAATTAATTGTTTAATGCAGTAAGAAAACCATTTAACCCTATGGAAATACTTTCCATGATCATTCAAAGCGTTATTTTTTAATATAAAATAGTTCAAATTAGCTTCAAGTCTAGCTGTATATTTGCAGACTGCAACTCCCTCGCTTTACCCTCCCTTTCCAAGTACGAAGGAGAAGCTACTGTGGACGTGAAGTGCGCAAGAAAAGCGAACACCCCTATCTAGAACCAGTTTCATTGTTCCTCCATTCTATGCTACTGTAAAAACATGGTGGACTCTCTTCATCTGTATATATAAACGGCTCATTCTAAGGTAACAAAAACTACAGCAACAATTCAAAACATTCAGGGGATTATACACAGTTAGGAATATTATATTCCATATCTGTCAATAGATCCTTCTATATGTTTCATAGTGGACCTTTAAGGCAACTAAACGTATGTGGTGATTTTTATAATCCACATTTTTATATGGAC